AAAACAAAGCTCCAGGAAATAATTCCCATAAGAGAAAAATGATGGGGCAATATATTTTGGTCACCCAGCAAATAATTATCCAAGCAGTGGAATTTGGGAATGGAGATACCAATCATGCATAAGATTTGTGAGTGTAATACCTAATACATTTAATCGGCCAACAATTATACACCATCAATTATGCGAAATTCACATAATCAAATAATATACATTAGTAAAGATTTACGCAAACCACCACACTCATCATTAAAAGGCCTTAATACATATGTGCCGATTGCGGAAACCAAAATTGATCTCGACACAGATAAAATATTTCATCAATCAGTCCAATTGTTCTTCATAGGATTCAATATTATACATAACAAATTATTTATCCACAACACATGCTCTGATACCAAATGTAAACATCATTAAGGATCTTGAATAAATAATTTGTGTGTATACGAAACACTTACTTGATGCGGAAGACGACATAATTTGTGATCTTGATCTTGATGATCACACGGGATTGAATTAATTGGTAGGACTAAATTAGTTTCTCCCTCCTGGCCTTCTCTTAATGTAGCAGAAAAGTGATGGGAAAAATACTGCGTACCCTAATAGGAGGAGAGAGGACTAATTTATATAGGGGTGTCTTTAGATCTGGTACGTCCATCAAATATCCAGATTAATGGCTTAGATTTGTTTGACTATTAAATAAGGTCTGGCCCAATAGGATAATTAAATGTGAGCCCAATGCTTTCGGGCCACATATTCTTACATTAACACTCTGAATAATATTACTATTATATTATAATTTAAATATATAAATAGTAATAATTATGATTTATCAAAATTGGACCGCACCCAGTGGAACGCAAATCGATTTATCGATCAGTCCATTTCGCTTGAATAAAATATTTGTTTGTGAACCGATCAACACCAGTCGCTCGTAGTAGTAGGATTTGTACAATTTCTAAATAAACTTTGTGACATTTAATTTTTTTTGTAATATGAATAAAAATACATATTTAAATGAAGCGACTATTAATTAATATTAATAAATTAAATCAAGGTCCAAGTCCAACTAATAATGTATTGAGCAAATAACTTGATTGGTTCGATGATGGTTCGGTTATGAGAAATTTTGATTTACTATATTTAATAAAAGTTGTAAGGAAATATTATTTAGTTTACATAAATACTAATAAAACGATATATAAATATTCATAAATCACTGAACATATTTTCACAAAGTTATTCTTGGAGCTTGGGTTACACTACTTTTATTGTAATAAATATTTTTTAATATTAGAGTTTCTATTTAGTTTCAATAATCACTAGTCCTCAATT